ACGGAACACAGGCTTCAGCAATCAATGCACACACATTTATTCCACAAAGGAACACAGGATTTTCACACAGATCAACAGAAGGTGTGAATGGGACTGAAATGAACAAGTCAGCAAGTTTACTTTTAATGAGTTTGAGAATTCTACAAATGAATCAATCTATTTTACAAACAGTGATTGCACACATTTACTGTACAAGTGAACCTGAGTTTATGAAACGCATCAACCCTGGCATTATCAAGGGACATTATGTCTGTGTGTATCTTTATATTCACATCCATATTTATATGTGTATGTGTTTCTGCCTGTGTCTGTATGACCTGCTGTCTGCAATAGGACACACTGTCCCGGAAGAGTATATCTGTAAGTCTTAGAATCCCTACAGTGTGGAAGCAGGCCATCTGGCCCGTAAAGTCCGCATTGACCCTCCAAACAGCATCTTACCTAGACCCACACCCATACCTTATTGCTACAACCCTGCATTTCACAGTGCCAATTCACCTAACCAGCACATCTTCGGACTGTGCAAGGAAACCCACACAGACACAAGGAGAACGTGCAAATTCCACACAACGTCTGTGTGTATCTGTGAATCTGTTTTTGTGCCTCTGTACACGAGTGTGTATGTCTGTGCATCAAGCTCTGCTTGCAATGGGGCATACTTCAAATGAGTGAATTAAAACGTGATGAATCAGAGTCACAGTCTTTCTCTCTGGTGTTCAAAGTGATACAGTGTCATCCTTTGCTGGCCTCCCCATGTCACATCACAAGCACCGCATATTTCCCTGTTCTACTGCATTTGCTTCCTGGTCCTCCAGGGGGATGGATCAAAGTTTTAGTAAGAACCTGCAGTCATTTGTGAACTCGTTGGTGTCCCAGCAGGTGGGACGACCGAGTAAAGCCTTTCCTACAGAGGGATCGGGTAACAAATTCTCACCACTGTGTATTCACTGGTGTCTCCAAGTTTTGTGAACAGCCAAATTACTTTCGACACACAGAGCTGGGGAAAGGCCTCTCCTCATTGTGACTGCATTGGTGTGTCCGCATGTCATATCTGCGTTTAAACGTCTTCTCACAGTGCGAACATTTGAAAGGTCTCTCATCAGTGTGAACCAGTTGGTGTACCTTAAAGTGGGATAACTGAGAGAATGCCTTGCCGCACTCGGAGCAGGGGAATGGCCTCTCCCTAGTGTGAACTCGCTGATGTGTCAACAGGTAGGATGAGTCACTGAATTCCTTCCCCACACTCGAGGCAGACAAATGGTCTGTCGCCAGTGTGAGCTCGCTGGTGTTTCAGCAGGTGGGCTGACCGAGTGAATCCCTTTCCACACTCGGGACAGATGAATGGCCTTTCCCCAGTGTGAACTCGCTGGTGTCTTGACAGGCTGGATGAGTCACTGAATCCCTTTCCACACTCTGAGCAGATGAATGGCTTCTCTCTAGTGTGAACCCGCTGGTGTGCCAGTAGGTTGGATGAGCCACTGAACCCCTTCCCACAGTCAGGGCAGATGAATGGTCTCTCCCCCGTATGAACTCGCTGGTGTTTCAGCAGGTTGGCTGATCGGGTGAATTCCTTCCCACATTCTGTGCAGATGAATGGCTTCTCCCCAGTGTGCACTCGCTGGTGCCTCCACAGGGTGGATGAGTCACTGAATGCTTGTCCATACTCAGGGCAGGTGAATGGCCTCTCCCCAGTGTGAGTGCGTTTATGTTTCCGAAGGGAAGATAACCGCCAGAACCCCGTCCCACAAGCACAGCAGATGAATGGCCTCTCCCCACTGTGAATGCGTCGATGAGTTTCCAGCTGGGATGGGTACTTGAATCCCTTCCCACAGTCCGCACATTTCCATAGTTTCTCCATCATGCAGATGTCCTCGTGTCTATCCATATTGGATGATCAGCTGACTCCTCTCCCATACACAGGACAGTAATACAGTTTCTCCCCACTGTGAATGGTGTGATGTTATTCAGGCTGTGTAACTGGTTCAAGACCTGTCCACAGTCAGTTCACTGAAACACTCATCTGGGTGGATATGTCTTGGTTCATTTCCAGTCACACTGATGTTGGAAAAGATTTCCAACAGACAGAACAGATAAACATTGAAAATCAAATGTTTTTCAAGTCCTGATTAATTGACTCACTCTCAGATCTTGGTGGGATGTTTGTTTAGAATTCTTGCTGATAAATTTGGCTCTGTGATTCTCTGTTGAACCAATTTAAATCAAGAAAAACCGAAAGAACTGCAGATGCTGTAAATCAGGAACAAAAACAAAGTGCTGGAGAAGCTCAGCAGGTCTGGCAGCATCTGTGAAGGGAAAAACAGAGTTAACGTTTCAGGTCCGGTGACCCTTCCTCAGATCAAGAAAAGACGAGTATGAGAAACAGAACTGTTATGAGGGGGCATAGTTTTGAGGTGATGGAGGTAGATATAGGGGAGACGTCAAAGGTAGGTTCTTTACTCAGAGAGTGGTAGGGGTGTGGAATGTATTGCCGGAGAGGGTAGTGGAGTTGGCCTCATTAGGGGCATTTAAGAAGCGGCTATTAGATAGGTGTATGGATGATAGTATAAGGTAGGGATGGAGGTTAGATAGACCTTAGGTTTAGGGTAAAGGTTTGGCACAACATCGTCGGCCAAAGGGCCTGTACTGTGCTGTACTGTTCTATGTTTCAGACACGAAAGGAGACTGTGAAAGGTGTTACATTGAATTTGGTAATTTGTGTGGAACATACTCAGAAATAGTGACCATGAAAAGTCACTAGATTGTTATAAAAACTTAACTAGTTCACAACGTCCTTCAGGGAAGGAGACTCACTACCCGTCCTGGGCCTCCACAAGACCCAGCCCTCAATGGGAGGAGAGACAGTGAGAGCGCGGTTTCTTCCATCTGCATCCCAGGAATAACTGACAGATCCTCCCATCAAGAAGGTCAAGACCGGGGTGTATGGGGAATCATCACATATAAACCGCTCTCGCAGGCAGACACTGCCTTCTTGTGGATCGATGTCGCTGTTTATTTTTAATAGCTGCTAACTGTCAATCCTGTCACTCCTCACCGAACAACACTGTGGGAGACGTGTCACAACCACACAGCAATGAACGCTGGCCACTTTAGCCTTGCTATTGTCCCAATCATAAAATTAGATGCACGTTAAATGAGAACTATTCCTGAGAAGCACCTCTTCCTTAAACAAATTCCTGAACTTTGAACAGACACTTTGAGTTTAGCAACTAACCCTAGGAATATTTCTCGTGACAGCCCCACAGCGGAAGTTACTCCAGCCGGTCTCCGGATGAAAATGAAACACCACACAGGAGGTGAGGAACCGACTTCTGCAACCAACCGCCGCCCTGCTGTAAAGCAGCTTTTTAACTGATCCACCTGTGGTTCAAGACTGGGTTCTGGGAGCAATCCCTACAACAGACACAAGATTATGCAGTGGCGAGATTTTCTGCAAGGAAGTGAAAGTGCTGCAAAACCTCAGCAGTTCAGACAGTATCTCTAGAGAGACGGGGAGAGAGAATATAAACTCCGGCTCACTGACCTTTGGTCTTCAATAACCAGCCGCTTCAAAGCACTGTCCGTCTCAGTCCAGGAGAGACAAACGTTGCTGTTGGTTTGAGCTTGCTCTGTGTAAATCTCTTCAGTCTAACACCATGTAAAAGCAGTTTCCTGGAGTTTCACCATGTTGTTCGTGAAACCACCAGGTCCCTCTCTCCAGCTCCGTCTCACACTTTCAACCCACCGCCTCCTTCCGGTTCAGGCACTCATATTGCGCATACTCTGTAAACTGCCTGGCTCCGGTAAATTGTTCACTCTGATTGGTTCGAGGCCCAGCCAATCCCGGAAAGATAACCGGGCTGCCCCTCTTTCTATAGGCCATGCGTGCCGTCAATCACCCCGGAACTGAAGCATGCGCGGAGTGAGTATGACATTCAGATGCCAAGGCCCGTTTCTGGTTGTACAAATTTGTTCAAAGGCGAGGAATTGACCCAGAATTCATTTGTACTTCAGTTCGGGAAGGAGGTTTTTCATAAAAACATTTTATGTTATGTAGTCATCCCTGGGGAGGCCAGTATTTACTGTCCATCCCTCATTGTCCAGAGGGCGGTGAAGATTCAACTACATGCTGCTTGGCCTGCTGTGTTCATCCAGCTCTACACCTTGTTATCTTACATTGTTGTGGGTCTGGAGTCAGATGCCGGTCCAACTGGGGCATGGCGGCAGTTTTCCCTCCCTAAAGGACAGCAGTGATCGCGGTGGGGTTTACAGTAATTGACAGAGAGTCCATTTTTTAAGTACAGTTTCTTAATGACTTAGTTTTCACATTTATCTGGCCTGCTGGGATTTGAACACACCTCCCCAGGACAATAGTCTGGGGTAATAGTTGATTAGACCAATTACATCGACACAACGCCACTACCTGCTGAGACAGGAATTTCCATTTTTTTGAACAAAAGGACGCAATGTTCCAGAGAATCTGGAATTACCTATTCAGAATTTCCAATCTGAACTGACAGGAATGACTTTTGTAAACCACCCTCACAGAATTTTAGGGAGAAATTATAAATGTGAAAACAAACATCATCCATAAGT